TAAGCTCTCTGACAGATCCCGTTCTAGAACCCTTATAGATCTCTTTAAAACTCACCGGCCCAAAGCCTAAGGGAATAACAGTTGAAACTTCAGGTTCGACTACCTTATATAAGACCCCGAAAGTTGAAAAGTTGAGTTTACAGTCAATAAGAAGAAGGAACCCCTAAACCCACCTATAGATCCCTTTGTAGAACCCTTATAGATCCCTTTTAAAAGGAACCCCTAAACCCTCTTATGGATCTCTATATAGAACCCTTAGAGATCCCTTTTAAAAGGAACCCCTAAACCCTCTTATGGATCTCTATGTAGAACCCTTAGAGATCCCTTTTAAAAGGAACCCCTAAACCCCCAAAGACCCAGAGTCGCCATTACCTGTGTCGAGGGCGGCGAGAAGCCGCCCGGCGGCAGACCGGGGCCTGGGTTGCTGCGCATCTGGCAGTATTGTTGTGATGGTTTAGGATTTAGGGTTTAGGATTTAGGGTTTAGGATTTAGGGTTTAGGGTTGTGTTATTCTTATTCTTTTGTTACTGTTATTATCAATACTCATGATAACAATAATAATAATAATGGTAATAATAATAATAATATCATCATTAATAATAATAATAGTAGTAATAATAATAATAATAATAATAGCAATAACACTAGTATGATTATTGTTGCGATGAGTAGTCGCTGTATGATTGCTAATATTCTGTCAGATTGTTCTATACTAGACTGTTCCTATTTTTAGGATTTCTATTGCTATTGTTCGTAATAATGGCAGTATTCGGTTCTGCATGATTGTGATTGTTCTGATTACGAAAGGTAATACTATTATTGTCATTGCTATTATTGTTATTGTCATTACTCAATGTGATTATTATTGAATTCTTGTTATTGTTCTTCTTATCATTATTATTACTATTCTTCTTATTGTAACTGTTAGTATGATAGTTATGATAAGTACGTAGTAGTAGTTGTTGTTGTTGTAGGAGCTGGAGCTAACGCTGGAGCAGGAACAGGAGCAGTGGTGGGAGTCGTTGTAATAGGAGTCGGAAAAGTGGAATTCACGTCGGCAGGGTCAGGGCGCTTAGGGCAGAAGCCAGAAACTTGGAACATTAGTATCCTCATGCCCCTAATGGCTTCTCCTGTAGGTTAAGGAAGGATTGTTGGAGCATTGGCGATGGTAAATAGAGCAGGAGGAATCTGGAGTCAGAGCAGCAGCAGCAGACGACGCTAAGAAAGTATGAAGGATAGAGCCGGACCAGGATAGTAGGAAAAGAACGAAGCGCACAAAACTGCGTGGCCTAAATATCTAGACTGTATAAGTATGGTCGGTACACAGGTGCAATACAGGGAGGATACTTTTACTTCTTCAAACCTCTCGACTCCAACTCCTCTTTACCATGACAATGCGAGTGGAATTGGTCATGGTGACGCGTCAGAACGACGAAACGAAACTCTTAAGGGTCAACTATAGTATAGTGGGCCCCAAAACCCTATTCTAATTATTGAGGCCTCTATATTATCGAACTCTACTATAGATCCCTTATGGAGCCCTTTAAGGATCCCTTTAAAGGAACCCTATAGATCCCTTATAGAACCCTTTAAGGATCAATCCCAAAAAACGCTTTGAAAGAGGATCCTTCGGCCTGACCCCGAAGCTTGATGGAGATCTATAAGGAATCCTTTAAAGGAGATCTATAATAAGGGTCCTTAAAGGAGATCTATAAGAAGTCCTTTAAAGGAGATCTATAATAAGGGTCCTTACAGGAGATCTATAAGGAGGTGTTGGGCTAAAGGTGGTTCATTCGGGGCTTGGGGGTTTAGGGCCCAAGGTTTGGGGTCCTGAGTTCTGGGTGAGGATATTGGGGTTTCACGGGGGCCAGGCTCCTTAAGCTTGAAACGCGGAACTTGGAAACCTCGGTCTTAATCTCCAAATTAGGTAGTTCTCCAATCAGGGTCCGTTTTATGAGGGTGGCGTACTACCTCGTGGGACCGAAGAGGGGTCATAGTCTAGGAACTACCCAAATCCGAAGCCCAAAAGACTGCCCCCCACACCCTAGAAACCCTACACCCTGAACCCTAAACCCAACACCCTCCGAACCCAAAACCCGAAACCCGAAACCGTGTCTGGGCCCCAAGCAGCCTCCCAAGAAAGCGTCTTCGGAGTCGAAGGGGGCTCGCCACATCCTCACCTAATACAGGGGCCTTCACAAATGGAGTAGGGTGTGTGGGGGGAGATATTTTGCTACAGTCTGAAATCAAAAAACACCCCAAAGTAGTATATTAAAATTACAAAAAGGCACCCAAAACTAGTATGGGCAACTATTTAGGCCGTTATGCTAGGCGAAACTCCCAGTCTGTGGGAGCTTTGGGGGCACATCCGTGCCCAAGGGCGCGAAGCGGGAAAAGGAGGGACTCTTAATGGGGACCCCTACCCTATAATGGGCTATATAATGGGTATATAATAGCTATATTAAGGGTATATACCTAGGGGTCCTTATTAAGGGTCCCTCCCTTGACCCTTGGAAGGAACCTGATTAAGAAACCCTGGGCCTATAAACCCCAAATAGTAGGATTCATATGGGTAGTTGTCAAAATTATGGTCCCTTTTTGGGTGCCCTAAATATTAGGTGCCGTATTATAATAAGGACCCAAAAGAGGACCATCATTTCGACAACCACCCATGTCGGATTGCATGGCTACGGCTTAAGCCCCAATGCGGCAAGCGTTTTGTGATTCTGGGCCTTGAGCTTCTTTTGAATAGAGCTTGAAAAGCTGCTTTCTTTGACCCTGCTCCCTCCGAAATTCTGCCGTGCGGCGAGCTCCGTTGCGGGTATGCCGCCAATGGCCCCGCCGGCATGGCCCGCCTGCATCCCCATACAAAACCCTGGACCATGATAGGGCTTAGATATATGTGTATGTAAATATAACCCACATCTACCTACAGATATTTAGAAACATACATACATACATGCATACATACATACATACATACATACATACATACATACGTACGTACATATATATATACATACGTACATACACACATACATACATACATACAAACATACATACATACATATAATATACATACTAATTCTGACATACTTATGTATCGGGCGTTTTTTGCTGGGCCGTTTTAGGGTTGGGCTTGAGCATTCTGGTTCGAAGAGGTCGGGGCTCAGGAGGTCGGGATTTGGGATTCTCAGAGACTGCAATATCCCTTAATTAGGGAATATACCTTAAATCATATTAGGGATCCTATTATAGTTTAAGCTATATTCCTTAATTAAGGGATATTGGAGTCTCTGGGTTGCTCCAAGCTGTGGTCGCCTTCGAGGCTCGGTACTTGGAGGTTCAAGGGAGGTTATACGGGGTCCCTTTAAAGGGCTCTGTAGGGATTCTATAAGGGTATAGGGTTTAGGGCCTACTTGGAGGTTCATGGGTAGTTATACGGGCTCGTTCAAGGGTCCCTTTGAAGGGCTCCGTAGGGATTCTATAAGGGTATAGGGTTTAGGGCCTACTTGGAGGTTCATGGGTAGTTGCAAGTGGGGTTATAAGTAGCGTAACTATATATTTATAACCCATGTTAGGGGACTTATAGCTCCAAGTATGACTACCCATGAACCTCCAAGTATGGGAGCTCCAACGATTCCAATGGATGCTAGACTGTACGGTGTCTTGAGGACAGTCGAGAAATCCGACGGCCCCGGGCAAAGAGAGTTCATTCATTAGGCATAGGACCCTAGGAAGGACAACAACTTTGGAGAACGGCAGACGCATGATGATCATCGGGTACAATACGGAGAGAGACAAAATACGTGAAATAGCAGGCTGTATGGTTGCACCAACCTACTAGCTACCGCATGAAGTGCAGTGTCCAGCACAGCTGCATAGCTGGAACGAACGGCAAAGAGTAATTGTTGATACTTGTACTGTAGAGTACCGTGTAGACAAGACTTTCTACTCTGGAATGAACTTCAAGATCTTCAAAGGTCCAAGCTAATGTTGTGCGGTGATGCACCATGTGCCGCGCGTTGTCGGAGGGTGAGGTGTGATGATGATGATGATGATGACGACGATGATGATAATGATACTGACGATGATGATGATCAGGAGGGGAGGAGGGGGAGGAGGAGGATCAGGATCAGGTGAGGATGAGGAGGAGGATGAGGATGCGGAAGGAAATGGGGATGGGGATGAAGATAAGGATAAACATGATGGTTATGATGATGATAAGGAGGATGATGAGGATTTTGGTGAGGATGAGGATGGGGAACGCTTCTTGCGCTGCATGCTTCTACCATCTTGTACTTACTGTGGCCAGGACAACCAGTTCAAGTCTAGAATTGCTCGGTCAATGCTAACCATGCTTCCTGCGTTTCCCATTCGAATGGTCTGTCGTACTGTGTAACCGGCCCTGCTGTCGCAATGCAGCACACTAGATCTCTATTCACCATCGTCACAGCTCCTTAACTGGAATAACACACGACGACAGTCAAGACAACCACGACGAATGCAAACTCGACAACACTGCCCCTACTACATCTACGACTGCAACTGGCTACGACTGCGGCTGGCTACGATTGCGACCGCGACCAATGCTGCCGTTGCTACTACGATGCTGCTTCTACTTCTGCTCATACTCGTGCTGCTACCGCTGATGCTGCTACTGCCTCCACCACTGCCGTTGCTGCTGCTACGAATAGTAACACAAAGAACCGTTGACCGAGGTTATCAGTCTGGACAACTCCAAGGTTGCTCGAAAACTCATATTCTCGACCAAACTGCGGTTCCTTCTCCTTCTCCTCCTCATCCCCCTGCTGCTTCCGCTGCTGTTGCTGCTGTTGCTGCTGTTGCTGCTGTTGCTGCTGCTCTCTCGCTCTCCCTCGCTCTTGCGAGTTTCCTCTTGTGCCTGTCACAAGGAAAACTAACTGTGAGCATTGAAATCATCTCCGTAGCAGTAGCAGCATCCCTCTCCAATTTCTCGAGCAAGCTCCATCTCGCCAGGCCTCGTCCCCGAGAACGGCCTGGAAGAAACAGCGCGTCCAGCATGGCGAGGTCACGTTGCGAAGGCCGCAGGCCTGAGAGGGCAAAGGCCGATGTTGCAAGCGGCATAAGGAAAATCACCGAGAAGCCGCTCCCGATCAGCGAAGCTCTATCTGACTCTATCCATGGGGTGGCGGACGACACAGAGGGATCAAATGTCATGCAAGGGAGCTGCGCCACGCCCAAGACAGGACTGGCCTGCGCTTTCAATGACTCTTTTGTGTTGATATCTAAGAAACGCCGAGGTTCTGAAGTATTCCACATACAAACACCGACATGGGAACATCACGTGTTTTGCAATCAAGCCGGAAAATGCTGAGCTGAAACCCCAATCCCCAAGAGAAAACCATCTTCGATCTAATCATGAGACTATCTTTTCTTCTCACTGTTGCTGTCAGAAGTTTTTAGAACCCAAAAAGGCACACAAGCAAAGACTAGGACGTGGACATCCCATAAAAACAAAAGCTAGGGGGTGTCTTTGCAACAGGTCTATGCTTATGCCCTGTTTGGATCCCGTAGTTCTCCCTCAGGTGCTTCAATGCGCCGTGCAATTATGACGCTACTGTGAAAACTCAATCGGGGTTTAGGGTTTAGGGGTTTAGGGTTTAGGGTTTAGGGTTTAGGGGGCTAATCCCGAAATCCTAGACCCTAAACCCTAAACCCTAAGCCGTCCAAACCCAAAGGTTACCAGACCCTACACCGTCGAAGCGCTAACCTAAACTCAAGACCTTAAACCATAAGTCTGTCTAAACTCCCATCAGCCAAAAACCCTCCCACCAATTACAAGGGGAGAGCTGATCTGACAATTCCCCCCTACCGGCGGATGGTATGAATCCTGCATGCCCTACTTGGAGGATCATGGGACTTAGTAAGTATGGTTATAAGTACCTTAAGAGGGGTTATAAGTAATTATTATCAGTATAGTTACCTTAATCATAACCCTAGCTACTAAGTCCCATGATCCTCTAAGTACTGCTTCTCCCGTCTCCGATGTCAACATTGGCAAAGCCGTCGGGCCTGCAGGAATCGTTGCTACTTGGGCCTGCTGCCTTTTGGGCTCAGCATTAAACCTTTCTTGGGGAAATCGATGCAGGATTTTTGGTAACAGCTGTACTCACCTTCCTGGTGTCTGTGTTCGGCTGGACTCAAGGTTGCACACATTGTTGCGAGCCAATCCGTGGAGCTTGCGGGTTCCCATCTTCGATGGGACGGAGCTGCAGCTGTGGCGGTCGCCAGGCTGCATAAGCACCGGATCCTTCCACAACAAAGTAGAACCAGCTCTTTGGGCAGTGCGGGATGGGCTGCAAGGGCCCTTCGATTCACGTGTTCGCCACGGGACGGCAAACCCGGCGCACATCAGGAAAGCTGGCAACTGCAGCACGCCTTTATGCACACTCTGCGGCGGCGACACAGGCTCATGTTGACCGGGTTCAAAAACTCGTGCAGGAAAGCCAGCACGCATCGTGCAACCGCTGCACACAACTGGTGCAAACTCTGCACGCACAGTGCCACTGAGACGGCTACGGCTAGCTCCGAACAAGACAGCAGAGCACGAATGATACGATTTTTCCTTTTCCTGCTCTGCGACCTGTGGAATTCTGGGCATGTCCCCTGCAGTTTCCATCGAATCGCAAGTCCCAAGTCCGGAGCCCTACATGGGTGGTTGTCAAAATTATGGTCCCTTTTGGGGTAAGTACCCTAACTATTAGGTGTCGTATTATAATAAGGATCCAAAAAGGGACCCTAATTTTGACAATCACCCACATGTTGAGGGCTTGTAAGGAGGTCTGGAGCTTAAGTTTCTTCTTAAGCGCAAAGGGCTCTATCTGTCGCATGCGAGATAGAGCTCACCCCCGGGTGTTGGTCTAGGGTTTATAGGGGCCTTGATAATTAGAACAGGGTTTTGGGTCCCATGATACCATAACTATAACAAGGAACTCCCAAAATAGTATAGGTAACTATTTCACCCCCTATACTAGGGTCTAGTAGCAAGTTTAGGGCTTGACAGGAAGTGTGCCTTGAAGCAGGACGGCGTCGCACGCTCCACTGAAGTGAAGAAGGACTCCTGTAGAAAACATTCGGTGCTTTCTCTCTGGTTTGGAATTGGGAGTTTATGTGTGCTGGGCCTGCTCGCTGTACCTGACCAGACCGCCGGGAGGATCCTACGTTGGGGCCCTCTACTAAACTACTAAGGGTACTGTATAGGAATCTCCATTAAGGGATCTACTTTGTGGATCCTCCCGGGGGTCTGGGTGTGTACCTGTGCTGCACACGTTGTGCAAGCCGGATCTGAGGGACATGTGTGTACGCAGCATACTGAGAAGCCACATGGGCGTTTCCGAGAATTAGGGTACCGTATTTTGGGGTCCTTATAATAAGGATCCTACTATTTAGGGTACTATATTAGGGTCCCCTATTTTCGGAAACTCCCACATGAACAGCACCTTCCCGTAAAGCTTTAGGTTAGGGTTGGCTGCGACGGTGCCAGGTGTCTAACTCGCGAAAGCCTCAACCTGCACCCCAAACCCTAAACCCCTTTCTCCATCGTACCTTCTTGGGATTTCATAATACATAGAAACGCTAAATCCTTTAACCCTACTGCCCCTTTCACCATCTTACCTTCTTGGGATTTCTTGGAGATCCTTGTGGCAGGTCTTGTTCACGATCTTCTGGACAGAAGACACGTTCCAGGTGCAGTTCGGCCCCATCTGTCGCGGGCAATATCCTCGGGGTAAGGGCTCTGGCTCAAGGCTTCTCACTGAATGTAGGGGCCTTGATAGTTAGAATAGGGTTCCTTTAAAGGGATACTTAAAGGGGTCCTTAAGGGATCTATAGTAGGGTTCGATAATATAGGGGCGGGTTCTGGGGTATATTATATTATAACTGTAGTAAGGAACCCGCAAATAGGTGGGGTTGCCATCCTGAGTTGCTTCTACAGCGATCTGCGGCAGCTTTCGGGTCTCAGGGTGTCTGTCGGACCTCGATCTACCCGTATAGTGCCCTTATAGAAACCCTTATGGAGCCCTTCAAGGAGCGCTAAAAGGTCATAAGCTCGAGAATGACGTCAAGGCACCCTGCGCCAGCGTGGAATACCACCAACCCGGGTTCGAGGCCCTGAGAGAGCTCTGGACGTGCATGGGGCTTTATTATTATTACTACTACTTTACTATATTGCAATTTTGTATTTATTGAATTTTTATTATCTTAATAATTTATGATTGATTGAGCTCAGAGAAGGTTCTGAAAAAGGCTCCATGTACCCGGTCATGCAGCCACATGGGTAGGTGTCAAATTTAGGGTCCCTTTTGGGGTCCTTATTATAATGCGGCACCTATTATTTAGGGTACCCAAAAAGGGACCCTAATTTTGACAACCACCCACATGAAAGCCATAGCTTCTGGTGCGAGACTATCTGGCAACATCAACGCATATCAACGCATACCGCGTCAACACGGCGTGCATCCACAACGATGGCCACCTCATGAGGCAGTTTTTTTTTTTAGTTGTTTTTGTGTTGTTTCTGGTTTCGGGTTGTAATTCCTTCGGACTCTAGCTGGTAAAGACGACTTGTTGGTTTCATATCTTTGTGGTTCCAGTATAGATGTTGGCTTCCGGCCTTTCCTCGGACTTGGCTGAAGGGTCGAGGGCTGATAAAACTTGGAGCTTATCGGGTTTATTTTAGGCCTGGGGCTACAGCCTACACCCTAGACCCGCAGATAGACGTCTGCATGCAATATGCCTCTTTTTGAGATACCCCTACTAGTCCCTATGTTAGATACCCTACCGAAGTCCTGACTATTCTGGGCCAGCATATATTAGTCCTTTGGGTACGGCCCCAACTCAGCAACAGTTGGATAGTATTCAAAATACAGATGTATTAGGACCATAATAGTAGCCCTATTATAGACTGTTACCGTATGGGGGCAGTACCTAATTAGTTCTGTCCAAGTGGCGGAAGCTTTGCATTGAGCTTCGTCTGCCAACAAACCCATTCTGGTGCCGACTCGTTGCACCAACTATGGGGCCTCGGGCTCGCCCGAAGTTCACCAGCTCAGCCCGACATGTTAAACTAACACGGGGGCCTTTATGAAAAGAACATGGTTCTGGGGTACTTTTTGGTATACTTATATATAATAAGGAACTCCAAAAAAGAATTGACGATTGTTTAGGCTTCTAGAATCCTCTAGATTCAGCCTTGGAACAGCCAGACCGATGACTAATTAGTATGCCCCCTCCCGTAAGACCCATCAATCAGACGATAGCGATCCCCCGCCAGTGCAATCAAGATCGCGCAGATGCCCCATAGCTTCAAACCACGATGGGCGGGATTGACGGAACCTGCTCCAACCCGAAATAAAATACCTGAATAAACTGTCTGGTTCTTAGTCGGGAATGGGGGACTGGATTATGGAAGTAATTATTGGGGATATACAGGGACTACTACAGGGATCCATTCCCCCATTCCCTGCTAAGAACTAGACAGATTTGGTCGAAATCATGCACAAACATCCTCAACGCAAACGGATGAAAGGCACTGCCGCGAAGATCTATGCAGTTGCGGCCAGAGTTGCACATAGTCCATGCCCTTCTTCACCTGGAAGCACAATGGGGCAGTATGTGGGTATGTACGTTTGTATGTTTGTATGTATGTAAGTATGTACGAATGTGAGTGCATATATGTATAATACAAACATAGACATAAATGTAAGTATAGATATAAATATGTGTGTGTGTGCATGTGCATATATGTGTGTACAGATGTACGTACGTAAGTACGTACCTATGTATGTGTATGCATGTATGTGTGTACATGTATACATATATATGTATGTGTGTGTATATATATATATACACATGTGTATGTGTGCATATACACATATATATATATATATATATATATATATATATATATATATATATATATATTTATATTTATATTTATATATATATATATATATATTATGTGCGTATAGAGCACATTAGACGCATTGTCAATAGGTGCCGGCCTGGAGTCGCCCCACTGTACCATTGCACGGTTCCGTCTGACGGGCGTACCTCGCAGCGGCTTTGGGCCGAAAATACTGAATAACTAAGGGTTTAGGGTTTAGGGTTTGGGGGAGTCGGGCTTAGGACTATCAGGGTTATTATACGGGTTCTATCAGGGTTTAATGTCGAGGCAAGAGTTTCAATGGGCATTTGGGGTGGTACATTAGCATATAACTATGAGATACTATGAGGAACCCGAAGGAACTACTTCGGTCAATATTTAGGCTTCTATGTTTTGGTCAGAGACGGAGGACTTCGGATTGAGGCCTCGGCCTCGGGATGCAGGAATCTGTTCGCAGCGAGGGGTGCCTTCGAACCCTAAACCCATCTAAACCCTAGAAACTAAATCCCTGTCCTGGTTTGAACCCAACAGTACAACGATACAAATCACCCATCCATCAGTACAATGATGCAGCGCATCCCCAAGACTGAACATTTCACGCTTGACCTTCAGGCTAGGACCCTCTACCAACGCGCGAAATCCTCACCTATCCGTAGTCGGACCAGGTTCTGCTTCAGAATCTGATAGTAGGCGCGGACGTCGAGAACCGTACATAGAGATGCCATACCTAACGAAGGACTCGTCGAATCTTAGGGACCTCCAATGCTTGACAGGGGCGGTTTGCCACAGAAGCAGCAGTATTGGCCGGCTGGGCATGGATTTCCGAAGGGGTCGACGTCCCCACGGATGCCTGCAGCATAAATCATAGGGACCCTTACACAGGGGGGTAAGGGGCCTTAACTCCCATCATAAGGACTTAAGAAGGCCTATTTAAGGAAGTACAGCCACGATAGTGATAAGGGTGGCAGCAGCAGGATCCCCAGCTCACGCACGCAAACATATATGTCTATATATCCTGTGCAAATCTGAGGCGTGATCCTTTCGTGGGTATGTGTGTATAGGTATACTATAACATAACATAACATAATATAATATCATATTGTATTATGATATTGTATATATATAGATATATGTATTATGTGTGTGTGTGTGTTATCTCTTTGTTCATACATAATTATTTGCTGTTTATTGCACATGCAGGTAGGTGTGTATGGGTATGTGTGTGTGTATATATATATATATATATGTAAATACATGTTGACAATGGCCTCTGTGCGAAAAACGTAACAGTCAACTTTCATTAACTAGTCTGTTATACTGCGTCGCTCCCTGCCGCCAGAGGAACAAGGTGATGACCAACCCCCCAAGCCCAAACAGCAATGCACCAGACGGTCTTGAATGCTACTTAGAAGGGGCCCCATCCCTGTAATAGTGGTATAATAATATAATAGGGCCCTAATATAATCCTTACTTATAGTCACTATTCCAGGGTGGGGGCCCCTTCTAAAATGCTGCATTCATGCTTGCGGCTTGTAGAACTTCCCGCCTCCAGTCAGAAACTGCGAAGGGTTACCGGGGCAAAAACCTGCCTAGCTTTCAAAACTCAAAAGAAATTCGAGTGGATCCCGAGCAGCCCCTTCATAATGAGGGTACCCTTTTCCTACTATTCTTTTTCCTACTATTCGGACTATGTTGGGACCCCTAAACAAGAAGGGCAAAGGGCTACTATATGCTCAGAAGCCTAGTTAGAGTCAAACCCTGAGACTAGGAAGCCAAGGTGCCAAGGTTGCACTCCGCGTAGTCGGCCCAGGCATCATCCTCACAACTCCGATGCGCAAAGCAATTTCTCACTTCCAGTTTTAAAGTTCGCATTTGCATGTGAAGTTTGAGGATTGGGTTTTGGGGTGATGGATCTGGCATCTGTCGGCTCGGGTTTCAACAATCCGATTTGGGCTTTGGGTTTAAGAGCCCTGAACTATCATACCCTACAATCCACACCCCAAGCCCTTAAACCCTTAAACCCCAAACCCTAAACTTTAAACCGACTCCAGTGCCTGAACAGGACTTAAAGTAAAGGACCCAGTCAAGGAATGCACTCCAGGGACATCATCCTGAACGCTCAGGCGCAACTGGTTCACCACCAGGTCGGGAGAGTTCGTCTCCTGAATGTCTTGAAACATGGATTCCTTTCAGGGTTCCTAAGAGTTTAGGGGTTTAGAGGTGCTGCTCTCACAAAGGAGAGCTTGTAGCCAGCCCAGCCCGCGCTCACAGCCTGCTACATGGCGGACAGCACTTGACAAACAGTTGTTAGTTCCAAGGGGAAAAGGAGGGACCCTTAATAAGGAACCCTAGGTATATACCCTTTATAGAGCTATTATATAGCCCATTCTAGGCTTGGGTCCTTATTAAGGGTCCCTCCTCTTCCCCTTTGATTCCTACAAAGGTTTCGTAAGGGCGGCTGTAAGGAATCCTGACTGGGGGCTGCCGGGAGCTGCTGTAAAGGGTTTAGGGTTTAGGGTTTAGGGCTCAAGGCTTCGAAGTGCCCTCGCCCATCATATAGGGGCCTGAATAATTCGAATAGGGTTTTGGGGCCCATAATACTATATTTGTAATAACAAGGAGCCCCCCAAAATAGTATTGGTAATTATTGAGGCATCTAGAGCAAGCCCCCCAAACCGCTGTAGAAGTTGACATTGACACCAGTTCGGTCGTTGCAAAAACTGTTTCCATCTCCAGGAAATCCAACATAGTGTCACTGTTCGCAAGATCCAGCAACCGACTCTCCTATCCGATACTCTGGCACTGTGCACCCAGAGCAGACGCGTGGTTGACGAGTGTAGAGATCCACAGGCAGTCAGTGTCCATGCTGGCAGTGCTCGAGGTTCTTGTTTCTCAGCTTCAGGGTTTAGGCTTTCGCGTTGCGGCTCAGGCTTCAACAGGGCTCTCTGAGGTGCAGGGGCAGAGTGCTTATGAGATGAATCCTAAACCCCAAACCTTCAACCCTAAACCCTGAATGTAAGAAATGTCCACAGCACACCTGCGACTGGCGAGTCGAATGCAAAGTCGACTTAGCATCGAGGACTTGCGCCGCGCATTGCCATTCAGAGGGCCTGCACCGTTATTCTATGTCTGCTCGGTTGAGGTGCATGGGGCAACTTCCACCCTAAACCTTAAACCCTGAACCCAAAACCCTAAACCCTAATTTATTACTAATTGCACGGAGATGCAACAAAACTGACAGAACCAGCACAGTCCTCGTGATCACAGCAAGCATGAGCATCATCGTCGTTATGGTAACTACCGGAAAGTCTTACACCCTGGGAGCTAGGGGCCTAAACATACCTAATTCTTAACTCCAAGGTGGCCCCAAACTCTCAATCCTAAGCCCAATACAGTAGAAGCCAGAAAGTTTGAACATCACCAGCCTCATGCCCTTAAAGTAAAGTGTAGGGAATCCCAGCATGAATCATCCTAAATCTATGTTCCAACTTTCTGGGGCGCACTGTCATAATACCCTTATAGATCCCTTGTAGTAGCCCTTATAGATCCCTTCAAAGGAACCTAAGCCCTAAGCCCTACACGGCCAAGCCAAAAAGACCCTCAACGGCCCCGAAGCCTGGGACCGAACCGGCGATAGCTCCTTGTTCTGACATAAGGAGGGCTATAAGCAGCCTAAGTGGAGTTACCCCAATTATAACTCTACTTACAACCCACTTACTAAGTCCCCTCCCCCTCCAAGAAGACCCCTCAACCCTAAACCCTATAGATCCGTTTAAGGAACCCTATAGATCCCTTTAAGGAGCCCTACAGATCCCTTTAAGGAACCGTATAGATCCCTTCAAGGAGCCCTTTAAGGAGCTCCTTGTTCTGACAGTCTGCTGCAAAGATGGAGACCGGCTCCGCACACGCGAAGGGGCGCATGAGCCTGGGGCATCAGGGCATACTGTTGATGATATAAATCCCTAGGGTTCCTTTCAAGGGATCTATAAGGGTACCTTTAAGGGCTCCTGTAAGGGATCTATAGGGTTTTAGGGTTTAGGGTTTAGGGTCTAGGTTGATGATATAAACCCTGCATTACCTGGAGGGCCCTAAACTATGGGAAGTATGGTATATTCCCTAGTATGGGTAATGCAGGATTTATATCATCACCCGTAGGGTTTAGAGTTTAGGCTCTATAGGAGCCCGAAATAGATTCGAAATAACGGGACAGAGGCTTCCTCAATTAGCTCTCCATGCTGTGCTTTACTCTTGCAGGTCGCCATGTTGAGGGTAATGCTCGAGGATCGGATTCAGGGGTTTGTATGGCTCAGGATGTGGGGTATCATGGCTTCGGATTTGGGGCTTAGGCTTTAGGCTTCCAGTGAAGGGGCCCCCATCCTCAGCTCGTTCGAGCTGAGTCCTGTCGTACGTCTCGAGCCGGAAGATCTACTTTCGAAGGCTGCAATTCTTGTCTGCACTTTCAGGTTACACTCTTCAGCACATGTGGAGCCGTCTTACAGCGCCCAATGGCCTTGCCAATACATCTCCGATGACTCAAACCCGCTGGGATCACCTCATTTCCTGCCATTGCCCTCGCACAGTGCACCGATTAAGACCAGCACTTTAAGTATGGTTGGCCAAGAAGCACGAAGCGAAAGTCAAAAAAAATGTCCTTTGCTGTAGCTTCGGCCAGGGGTGTGCTAGGTGCGGGTCGGGGGCGGATCAGT